GGGTGGAGGGTGGGCAGGGGGACACTTGCCTTTAGCCGTGTCGTAGACGCCGAAGTAGGCCGCCCGGTAGATGATGATGCCCTGCACGGACACGCTGAAGCCCTGGTACAGGCCCCGGATGCCGTCCGACTTGGTGATCTTCACCAGACAGTCACCCAGGCCTTTGAACTCGCGCTCAGTGCCCGACTTGCCCACATCGGCCGCCAGACGGGTTCTGGCGAAATCCAAGGGGTACACGAAGCAGAGCGAGGTGGCTCCCGCAGCGCCGCCGGAGGCCAGGTTGCCGGCAAAGTACCTCCAGAACTGCGTGTGCTTGTCCACGCCCCCCAGGAAGACCTGCTTGTACTTGTCCTTGAAGGCGAAGTTGAGGGCTTGCGTGGGGAAGTAGCGGATGACGTTGGCCAGGTTGCCCCTCCAGAAGGACAGCACGCCCTGCTCCTTGGGGATGCGCACGATGCAGTCCACGATGCCCTTGTACTGCTTGTCGGCGGCGATCTGCTTACTGGCATGCTGCACCTGCAAGCAAGGGGGACCACACGCGGGCCTTGGCCCAATGTCCAGCACATCCGCACTAAGTGCCCGTAGAAAACGACCCCGCGCACGAAGCCGCGGGGCTGCCCTAACAGCTCAAATAGGAAGAGCCCGTTCTTCGAGGTCACAGCTGCCGCCGCAACGACGCTGCAACTGGCGCGCTACATCTGCCAGTTTCACGCCACGCGAGCGCAACATACTCCCGTTCGGAATCCCGGACGACTATGAAAGCGGGGAAAGAACCTAAGCCCAACGAAGGGCATTAGCAGGACCCCGCCCGCCCGCCGCGGGGCCCGTCCACGCAGCCACCCCGCGCGCACGTCACCGGGACCCAGAAAACGCGTGTGCGGCCAAAGCCCCTCTGCGCGTGCGTACCGTTCACGTGACACGCCCCCGGCCGCCCCCGGAAGTCTGCTGCGCGGACAAAGCGGAGCTGCATCGCACTTCCGGCGCCCGCTCATCCACAGGGCCCGGTGCCCGCGGCCGGCTCGGTCCACTTCCCCGCGCCCCAACCCCTTGCTCCTTGAGTCCGCGCGTGCGCAGACCGCCCCCACCTGCAGCAGCAGCTTGACCCGCTCGATCGGGGCCACTGCCGTCTTGGAGATGGCGGCGGCGATGCCCCCGGCCAGGAAATCCTTGGCGAAGGAGACGGCCTGTTCCGTCATGGTGGCGCAGCGGACGCGGAGGGGAGGCGCGAGGAGCTGGAGGGTGTCCGCACGCCCCAGGCTGCCGCTCTCGACGCCGAAAGTCTCCGGAGAGGGGCGCCCCTTCCCTTC